CAGAAACACAACCCACTACTCAAAATAAACAAAAAAACAGATCAAACATAACAAAAATGAAACTTGCAATTAGGGTTCATCACTTTCAAAAGAAAGAACACGTTCATCATAGAAAAAAAGAAATCACATTCACTAACAGAAAAAAAAAAAAAAAGCATTCATCAGACAAAATGAACTGAACAATTTCTTTTTTCATTCATTTTCCAACGAAACACATACAATCTTAACATCAAATCTAAAGAAAACAAACATCCACAGAAAAACAAAGGCAAACACAGTGAAATTTTGAAAGAGAAACAAATTTGGATCTGGTGGAAGGGATCCCACCATGGGATCAAACTTCTACCATCTCTTTCACCATTTTCCTAACAAAAATCCTTTGAGAGAACTATACCTAACAATGGCAACCGAAGATGAAATTCCTTAATCTTCCTTCTCAAACATAGCCCCCTTCTAGTAGAAAAATCCCTCTTTGTCTTTGCCATTGACACCACATTCAAAACCAGAAGAAAACCCCCCAAAGCAAACTCAAAAATCAACCAAAAGACCTTCCCTAATCTGATTTTTTTAATATATATATACCCAAATAATAAAATAAAATAAAAATGAAATAAATAAAAAAAGGCTTGCTTCGTTAATCACTTATGATGCCGATTTTGTCTGGTATGTGCTGTTTTTTGTTGTAGGTGAGGTAGGGACATGGTTGTAGCGAGCAGGAGTGTAGAGGTGTGGGATTGGGGCACAAAGTGCAGGAGCATAGGCTCGGTGTAGCAGTAAGGGGTAAGCCGTGGTGTGCAAGGGGTATGATTGCTGGTAGTGGGGCTTCGGCGTGCAAAGGGGGGGTGTAGAGTGCATGATTGTCGGTAATGGCTAGCATGCAAAGAGGGGGTGTAGAGTGCATGATTGCTGGTGATGGCTGGCGTGCAAAGGGGGGGGTGTAGAGTGCATGATTGCCGATGATGGCTGACGATTGTGGCTGCCGACTTCTAGGGGAAGGAGGTTGTTGGCTACTAGCAAAAGATTGTCGAAGATGGGGAAGGTTTGGGAGAGAGGAAGCAAAAGATTATTGATGAAGAAAAAGGTTCGCGAAACCCTTTTTTTTTTTTTTTTTTTTTGGGTTTGGGTAAATGGGTTTTGGGTAATTTTTTGGTTTTGGGAGTTTGGGTTTGGGTAGTTGGTTTTTTTGGGTTTTTGGGTAATTGGGTTTGAGTTTGGGTTTTGGTTTAGGTTTAAGTAAGTTGGTGGGCTTTGGGTTTTGGATAATTGTGGGTTTTAACTTCAATGCATTTTGCCCTTCAACTTTTCATTTCTTCAATCAAGTCCCTTGTCTTAATTTCCTTCATCTCTCTCTTCCAATCTTCTTCGCAAAATCCCCCCCCCTTTTTTTTTATGAACCTAACAAGGAAAAAAAAGACAAAACATATTAGTTAAAATAAAAATAAAATAAAATAAAATTCTACTAAAATTTGAGTTATGACAGTTGCCCTTTTTTTATTTTCTGTCTGTTAAGAATGAAAAGAAAAGACAAGAATAACTTAAATTTTTTAATGGTTGTTTTTCCTTTTTTCCTCTTTTTTTTTTTTGACTATTGAGTAACTAATCAAGTAAAAATGACCAAACAAGTAAAGTAAAAACGGTTAAGAAACCGCAATGATAGGATTGACCAAACAAATGAGATAAAATGGTTAAGAAAGCCACAACGATTGATTGACCAAACGAATGAGAGAAAATGGTTAGAAAATCGCAACGATTGGATTAACCGAATGAATGAGAGAAAACGGTTAAGAAAGCCACAACGATCGGATTGACCGAACGAATGAGACAAAACGGTTAGAAACCGCAATGATCGGATTGACCGAACGAATGAGACAAAATGGTTAGGAAACCGCAAGATCGGATTAACTGAATGAATGAAATAAAACGGTTAAGAAACTGCAACGATTGGATTGACCGAACGAATGATATGAAAACAACTAGAAAACTACAACGATCAAATTGATTGAACAAATGAGATAAAATGGTTAAGAAACTGCAACGATTAGATTAACCGAACGAATGAGAGAAAGTGGTTAGAAAACCGCAACGATCAGATTGACCGAACGAATGAGAGAAAACAGTAAGAAAATTGCAACGATCAGATTAACCGAATGAATGAGATAAAATGGTTAGAAAATCGAAATGATCAGATTGATTGAACGAATGAGAGAAAATAGCTAGAAAACCGCAACAATCAGATTAACCGAATGAATGAAATAAAACGATTAGAAAACCGCAATGATTGGATTGACCGAACGAATGAAAAAAGATGATTAGAAAATCGCAACGATTGGATTAACCGAACGAATGAGAGAAAATGGTTAGAAAACTGCAACATCGGATTAACCGAACAAATGAGATAAAACGGTTAAGAAACCACAACGATTGGATTGATCGAACGAATGAGAGAAAACGGTTAAGAAGTCGCAACGATTGGATTGACTGAACGAATGAGAGAAAACTGCTAAACTACCACAACGATCAGATTAACCGAACGAATGAGATAAAACGGCTAGAAAATCGCAACGATTGGATTGATCGAATGAATGAAAGAAAACGGTTAGAAAACCACAACGATCGGATTAACTGAACGAATGAGATAAAACGGCTAAAAAACCGTAATGATCAGATTGACCAAACGAATGAGATAAAATGGCTAAAAAACCACAACGATCGGATTGACCAAACGAATGAGATAAAACAGCTAAAAAACCGCAACGATTGAATTGATCGAATGAATGAGAGAAAACGATTAGAAAATCGTAACGATCAAATTAACTGAATGAATGCGATAAAATGACTATAAAATTGCAACAATCAGATTGACCGAACAAATGAGAGAAGACGGTTAACAAATCGCAACGATTTGATTAACCTTACGAATGGGATAAAACGGTTAGAAAACCGTAACGATCGGATTGACCAAACAAATGAGACAAAACGATTAGAAAATCGTAACGATCGGATTGACCGAATGAATGAGAGATGACGGTTAGAAAACCGCAATGGTCGAATCACAGAAAAAGTAGAGTATCAGTATGATTGAGTGACCTGAAAAAGTAAAGTATCAGTATGGTCGAATAACAAAAAAAGTAGAATATGAGTGTGGTTGAATGATTGAAAAAATAGAGTATGAGTATGGTCAAATGATAGAAAAAATAAAGTATCTGGGCCTAATGAGTGTAAAATGCAACTAAAAGGCTAGATGAAAACAATGATTTAAAGATCCACAGCCATGAAACATATGCAAATGAGACAATCTTTATATATAAGATAAGGTAAAAATGAAAAGAGGTTAAGAAACTTCACTGAACATGTTAGGAGTTCATATTTGGCGAGAGTCAAATGTGCTTTATATTGCGCATTCATTAACCTGTGATCATCTCTATGTAGCAGCTCAATAGATTTTTATTCATGAATACTCTGTTGAATGCCAGAGGTAGAATCTCATTTGTTTCCCATGAGGAGATATTTGAAAATAGTGCCCCAATAAGTTGAACTTTCATTTGCTATTGGAGTTTCAGCTAGCATGGATGACTTCTTAGCTATCGAATTCAGCTTCCTTTCTCCTTATAATTCTCATCCAACCTTTCAAATTCATCAAGAGATTTTGATTAGATAAACAATTATATTAACTGAAATAGAGCCTCATGTTCAACTAGCATTCCCAATACTAATTGAAAGGTAAGGTTGGAGTAAAATGCGAACAAAATGATTGCAAAGATTTATTTCATTAGATTCAAGCAAGGTCAGGATGATCAAAACGTCAACTTGGAATAATGAAAAAAAGAAATCTAGCCAATAAATACAAGATTTTGATGTAACCAGTTACAAGATATTCAGACCATAAATCGTTACTTCAGATCATCTTTTCTTTACAACTCTGCCCCTCAGTCTTTTAGTCCATGAGAGGGAGTCTCATTCCTTTTCTAAACATTGCCACTTCAAATCTTTCCCTTTTTCATGAACTAACTCTCATGCTTAGAATAAGGAAGTTTCCAACTGCCACTGTTTGCAGCTTTGTT